TTTGGGGCCTATATGCAGGGCCCGGGACGCAAAGGCTCCTCCAGCTGCATAACAACTAGGCGGTGTACGGCACTTGTTCCTCGCAGATCAAGGCTACAAAACATCTCTAAAGGTCAGAAGGGGGCGTTTCTCCGTGGCCGCGTAGGTATCTATATCGCCCTACGACGTGGAGCATCACGGAGTATAAAGTGGTTGATAATAACAAACATGTAACATATTCGCACACGGTATTGGGTTGTAGGCGGAGACTTTCACTGCCCCGTGAGGCTCCCGCTCGTAGGATGTATACATGTGAGGCTCCCGCTCGTAGGATGTATACATGCCGTGACGCTCCCGCTCGTAGGATGTATACATGTGAGGCTCCCGCTCGTAGGATGTATACATGCCGTGACGCTCCCGCTCGTAGGATGTATACATGCCGTGAGGCTCCCGCTCGTAGGATGTATACATGCCGTGAGGCTCCCGCTCGTAGGATGTATACATGCCGTGAGGCTCCCGCTCGTAGGATGTATACATGACGTGAGGCTCCCGCTCATAGGATGTATACATGACGTGAGGCTCCCGCTCGTAGGATGTATACATGACGTGAGGCTCCCGCTCGTAGGATGTATACATGCCGTGAGGCTCCCGCTCGTTGGATGTATACATGACGTGAGGCTCCCGCTCGTAGGATGTATACATGACGTGAGGCTCCCGCTCGTTGGATGTATACATGACGTGAGGCTCCCGCTCGTAGGATGTATACATGACGTGAGGCTCCCGCTCGTAGGATGTATACATGCCGTGAGGCTCCCGCTCGTAGGATGTATACATGCCGTGAGGCTCCCGCTCATAGGATGTAAACATGACGTGAGGCTCCCGCTCGTAGGATGTATACATGACGTGAGGCTCCCGCTCGTAGGATGTAAACATGACGTGAGGCTCCCTCTCATAGGGTGTAAACATGACGTGAGGCTCCCGCTCGTAGAATGTAAACATGACGTGAGGCTCCCGCTCGTAGGATGTAAACATGTGAGGTTCCGGAAATGCTCCTTCCTGACCTTTAGACGTGTTGGTGGCCAAAGTCAGCGATGGACCAAGGGAGGGCAGGGTGCAGAGACTCACAAAAAAAAGAACTACAACAAATCTCCATTGGGGGCGCGGTGTGTGTGATGGGGGGGGGGGGATAAGCATAGTTCGGATCGTTCTCGACTCACAATCGGGAATTCCGGGTTCAAATCCCGGACGGGACTGAAATGGTTTGGCACGTTTCCTATCACCTAATACCTCCATTCACCTAGCAGTAAATAGGTACCCATGAAATATTTTGTTGCTAAAATCGCAGATTCTATAATTAATGTTGTAGTCTATATTCCTGTCACCATTAAGTACTGGAACACTTGATGATATATTGGACTTGTACCCAAGATTAACCATGTAATGTATCAATTATACAATGTATGTATGTGATGTAACTATATAACCTGAGCTTGTAAAAGCACCTTCATCACCTTCAGTGATTAAGTGCTTAATTGCACACTAGTTTCTCTATCAGCTATCTCACCCTGTCAGCGTAAAAGAGACAAATGTATGTGAATGCATGTGTGTGTGTATATATGTATGTATACGTGTATGTATATATGTATGTGTACGCATATGTGTGTGTGTGTGTGTGTATGTATATGTATGTATATAAAGTATATATGGAAGCTGATCAGTTACATTTCACCTTTGTAAATGCTCAATAATGACACTATGTAAAAGACACATCGAACACTTTATGTAGGGCATACGTAAATCTGTGTATCTATGTATTTACGTATGTAGGTTAGCTTAGCATTTTAAAAGCACCGAATCACCTTCTGTGGTTGAGTGTTCAATAAACCCTTGAACTGTATGTTTAACACATCTCTAACCCTGTCCATGGAGGACAGAAGAAAATGTATATATGCTGGTTAGCATTGTAAACGTGTGGCCACGTCTGTGGTAGAAAATAAATAAATAAAAAAAAAACATTAAGTATTTCCTTTATATTGCACCTCATTTATTGCTTCTTCTTGAACATCTCATATGTTATCTTACTTCTCAATTAGTATTTACCCCATTATACCTATTTATCATTTGTCTCTAAATTATTGTAAGTTGTGTACGAAGCGCTTGACGTTGTAGCGGCGTCATATGATGTGCGTCCTGTTACCTACAAAATACCTCTCTTATGTACTTCGTATGCATTTATTATCAATAAATTATTATTATGCCCGAAATAATAATTACGATTACCTGCCCGAAACGCTATGCGTGTTAGTGGCTCTACAAGAATGCTATGTACTCTCATAAACCCATTGTTCCTTCTTGTATATAAATAAATAAATAAATAAATAAATAAATTATTAATATTTATTATTATTATTATTATTATTATTATTATTATTATTATTATTATTATTATTATTATTATTATTATTGATAAAATCAGTAGGAGCCACGAGGAGGAATGATACATCTCGAATGATACATATGTAAAGTAACATAATATATGACTTGAATAAGAAAGTTAACAAAAATGAATACATTAATTACATGACATTTAAATATGATTGGCATACAGTTTTAGTAAATAAAATTTTACATTTCTTACAAGATGTTACATAGAATAAGTGTCGATTTGTATTGCATTTCTGCTTTGATTCTCACTCTAGGAATATCAAAAAGATATTTGTTATTCGCGTGTTGTCCATGAGTTTTGTTACGGCCTTATAGGAAACACTTAAAGTCCGGATTAGCAGTGAGATCAGAGTTTCATAGCTATAACCCACACCTGAGAGGATGTGCCGTGACTTAATATTTAACGAATTCAAAGATTTCAGTAAGGGAGCTGAGCGGTATGTGAGACTCGAGTTTGTTATTGTTCCAGTTGCTAAGTTAACCCGACCAGCCTATGTCCGTCTTGCAGGCCATTCTCCCTGCAAAGTTGGGTGAGGCTAGCCCAACCTTACCACTCATAGGATGGGTATGAGTACACTACAAATCACTGGATGGGTATAGGGAAAACTATCATTCATAAGATAAGTATATATATATATATATATATATATATATATATATATATATATATATATATATATATATATATATATATATATATATATATATATATATATATATATATATATATATATATATATATATATATATATTTTATGGGTATAGGGTACACTACCATTCATATAATGAGTGCGGCCAACACTACCAGTCACAAGATAAGTATATGTGGCCACATTACTACTCGCAGGATGGGTATGACCGGCCAGTATAATAAATGAACTAAAGTGAAAGAATATCCCTTTCGTAATGCCAACGGTAGAGGAGCACCGTTCTTGAGTGCCAACGGTAGAGGAGCACCGTTCTTGAGTGCCAACGGTAGAGGAGCACCGTTTTTGAGTGCCAACGGTAGAGGAGCACTGTTCTTGAGTGCCAACGGTAGAGGAGCACCGTTCTTGAGTGCCAACGGTTGAGAAGCATCGTTCTTGAGTGCCACTGGTAAAGGAGCACCGTTGTTGACTGCTAAGGATTGAGAAGTACCGTTCTTGACTGCTAAGGATTGAGAAGCACCGTTCTTGACTGCTAAGGATTGAGAAGCACCGTTCTTGACTGCTAAGGATTGAGAAGCACCGTTCTTGACTGCTAAGGATTGAGAAGCACCGTTCTTGACTGCTAAGGATTGAGAAGCACCGTTCTTGACTGCTAAGGATTGATAAGCACCGTTCTTGAGTGCCAATACTAGAGAAGTACCATTCTTGAGTACCACTGGAAGAGCACACCGAGAAGCATGAGAGCCGTGAGTGCCACAGCTGCGGTGGGTGACACAGGTGACCTACAGGAGCCTCCACCCCTGCTGGCACTGACCGCCGTACTCGGCAGTCAGCGAGAAGGGGGCACCTCGTGACGTCACTTTAAACAGTCATGCCAACGTTTGCATGGAGGTGGTTAGTCTGCTTTTAATAGGAAGCTGGGATTTTATACGGGGAATCCCCAGGGGAACGGCCAGGCCGCGGAGCTCCCGTGAGGCCACACAAGGCCATGGAGAGCCCTGATGACCGGATATACTGTGCTCGCCGCAGCTATCTCCTCCTCTACCACAATACTCTCCACTCTCGCACAGTCAACACCACTCTCCTCAAGTGCCCCGAGATAATATAATAATGTGTTGTTGTGGATACCATGGATAATAGTGACAATTATTTCATGCTTGTAGCGTATGACCTTGAAAATACATACTAAGAAGCTCTGTTTGTGGACGGCGATGCGTTCGACTGGGTGAAATTAATATATTTCAAGTTTCCTTCAGTAAGAAACATTAGTGATGTTTTCTGGATAAGGTGAGCCATCCGTTTGGAATATGTGAATTGTGGATGTGAAAGAGTGAAGCATAAATTTTCCTACAATAGAGTACGCTAGAACGCAGCGTACCACGTGACCGGAGCGGACCAATCAGCGCCCTTGTTGTGGTCTCCTTCTGGGAATAGACTTTAGTCATCTGTACCAAAATACGGAGTGGAGTTCTGAATTTTTTCTCTAAGATTTCTAGTGGTGGGACTTGATTGCTCAACATGAACACGTAGGGAAGTGGAGGAGGAGAGCGCCTACGTTGCCAGGAGGTGAGTAAGGTGGGGTGACGGGGCGGGAGGAGGCGCAGGAGGCGTGTGTAGTGCCTCGCTACCAGGTGCACCTCCAGCCTCCTGACGCCGCCACGGGCCACATTTAGCACTGACACTCGCCACCCTACACCTCCATTCTCCTTATCCGCATGATTATGTCACTCACGACGTATAATGACTCGCCGCCGCCCTAAAACCTGGTTATCCCGCTCTTAAGAGACTGTGACTTGTGTGAGGGGGGGGGGGGTGTTGACAACCCAGACCCCAGGAGTCGCCCTCTCTCATCTTGCACCTCACTCTTGCCTCATGTCACTCTGTATGAGGTAAGTGGCCTCATACAGCCCTCTTGTGCTAGCACACTTACGTTTGGTCTCATGTTGTGTAGGTGTCTGTGCCTTGATCTGTGCACAAGCATGTTTTGCTGTAGTACACAGAAATCACATTAATGTGATATATCAAAGAACAAATCCACAGGAGTCTCTAAGGATTCGAACAATACGAAAGTATTGCAACTCCAGGTAGCAATTCTTTTGACCATGTCGTGGTGCAGTTGACTAGAGCGCGTCTGGGAACACCCACCACATAGGTTCGAACCCTCATCAAGGCTCCTGTGGTATTTTTCTTGTTTTCCTTGTAGTACTGTCTCGCTCTGTGGAGAATGGACCAGCCACTTGGGCTGGACGGTAGTGCGCCGGTCTCGCTTCGTGCAAGTCGGCATTCTGTCTCCAACCGTCCAAGTGATTGAGCACCATTCCTTCTCCCCATTCAATCCTAAATCCTTATCCCGTCCAAGTGCAATATAGTTATAATGGCATGGTACTTTTTGCTGATAGTTCCCTTCCCTTCCCTTTCGTGGAGGGTGAGTATCTGTTCCTGTTGCATTGTGCGATGCCTTTAGAAAAAGAGTATCTGTTTTTGTATTGTATCTTACTGTTGAGGACAAGTATCTGTTTTTTGTGTATTGTTACATGCTCTGTAGAGAATGAATGCAGTTCCTGTTGCATTGAGCCTCTCTCTGTGGAAGGCAAGTATCTGTTCTTTAATGTCACTGTGTGGAGGATGAGGATCTGTTTCTCGTGTATTTGTAATGGGCTGCAAAGGCTGGGCTCTCCCATTCTTCCTTGGTTCTCTTCTTCCCCTCCCTGGTTCCTCCCCCCCTGTCATCCTATTCTGCACGCTGTCCCAACCACCTCAATTCCACAGGATATAGAAGATATATTTGGTGTGTGAAGGTTGCTTAAGAGGTCTTCCCCCCCCCCCCCCCCTCTCTATGTGCTGTGGTCAGGATAGGCCATGACCTGTACTTCTTGGCCTTTTGCCTGGCCTCCTCCTTTCTACCTCCACACTGACCTTTAGGCCTCCCATCTCGTGAGGCCCGTCTCCTTTTCCTGCTCTCCCCTCCAGTCCTATACCTCCAAGCTGGCCTCCTATTTTCCTATAGGCTGCCTTTCCAGCTGGGCTCTTCCCCCCATCAGTGGTTTACGACATCAGTTGACAGTCGACAAATAATGTACAAGGACCATAGAATCTAGGCACTGGGTTTTTTCCTGTGGGAACTTACTCGTTGTTTTTTGGCCACACCCCAGTAATTTGACCTGGGTTCTGCTTTAGTGTGCCAAGGGGGTGGAGTCTCGTATCAAGTTCTGTGTAGAATTTTAGGAGAATTTTTAGTATGGTCTAAACTCTGTGCTGGATTAGACTGGAAAGGGACTTTGGATTTGCCATCTTGCCAAGAGATAAAGAATACTTTGAAGGTAATGTCCGTGAGTTCTTGTTTTTGGTAATTCAAACACCATTGCCATCAAGTTATTTAAAATAGTGTATTATTGTTCTTTATTAAAAAATTTAATTTTTGTTTAAGTTTCATTTGGCATTTTAGTTAAATTGTCCTTGTCTTTAATTTTGAGTATCACCTTTAATTCTTTTGCCCTTATTCAGAAATTCTCCATGTCCAATAATAATTAACATCAGTAAATAAACCAGTTGCAGAGATTAATAATAATAAACTAAGTAGTCTTAGGTCCTAAGTCCTGAGATCAAATCAATCAAAGAAAGTCCTAAGTCCTAATGTACCAATCCATGATCTTCCCCTTAGGGTTAGGACATTATGAATTTGTTACCAAAGTTACGAGGGTAACCAATGTTACATGTTGTGTCTCTATGGAGGATGAATGTGTCTTTTTGTATTGTCACTTTGTGGAGAATGAGTATTTTCCTCATGTACTGTGTCTGCGGAGGATGAATATCTGTGCCTTGTGTTGTGCCTTGCTCGTGGATGACAAGTGGGTTACTCTGTATTGTCTTGCTCTTTGTAGGATGAGTATCTGTTCCTCATGTGTTGTGCCTTGCTCTCTGAAGGATGAGTCCGCTCTTGTATTGTGTCTTGCTCCGTAGAGGTGTCTGTTCCTCTTGTATTGTCTCTTGCTCTGTGGAGGATGAGCATCTGTTTCTTTTGTATGCCGTCTCACTCTGTGAAGGAGAAATCACTTCCTCTTGTATAGCAGCCTGCTCTCTGGAGGACAAGTGTGTGTTCTTCTAGTACTGTCTTACTTCATGGTTACCTTGAGGTAACACATGGTGGACACTTTAAAAGTGTCATTTTAAAGAATGATGTTTCCTCTTGATTTATTCAAAATTTTCAATAAACTTGATGTAATTAATTTATAATTTACTGTAAATGTCACTTAACTTTCTTCAGTGTCCAGACACCGACAACTTTACCCTATGTCACTAGGAGCTCCATTGTGATAGATTGAATGAGACAAGACCCATTAGTCTAGGAAGATATATTTAAAGATATCACTGTAAATTTCTTCCACTAGACTAATATTTTAATAGGCTCTTTGCCATTATTACTTAAGCTTGCTTGCTTAGACTTATCTCTTAGAAAATGTTGGTTGCATACCTATCACAAAGTATACCTTTTAACATTAATTTCTACTCTGCACATTATTTAAAAATTATCCACCATTCCTTGTCTGTTGTATCTCTCTTGCTCAGAGTATTCACACAATTTGGTTATACTGCATGCATTTTTTGTGGTATTAATTAATATTTGACCCATCATATTACATAATTCATAATACATAAATATAAATACTTCATATTAATGAAACCATTTGCAAGCTTCATTCCCACAGTAATAACCTTGTTGCAATGCAAGGGAGTGCATGCAGACTTCATTCTCAAGTGTGTGTAGATCATTAGTGTGTACTGATAGTACAGTACTTTACTATACTGCTATGCGGTGGCTTCTCTTATCTCGAGGGAGATGTTTACCCCTTACATAAGCCTTGTTAATAACCAGACACCTCTTCTGTACATTACTATTTTCTTTATATTTTACATTACTCCTTTTTGACATAGCTCATATATGAATTTTCCATTCAATTTTATTCAACTTATTGCATTGACATTCCATTAGATTTTGTTTATTCTGTAGCCTAGGAGAAAGAAAAATCTGCTGTATCACTGTATTCTGAGGGGGCAGAAGGAAATCTATTTCAAAGGATTCAAATGTGAACAGACCATTAGATCCGAACAAGCCTGTTTATGTTTTGTATAAGGTACTGATTTAATTTACGTGGTATAATACTGAATTAAGTACTGTAATTTAGTAAATTGTTCCAATATTTACTACTAAAGTAAAGATAAAGGTTTTGCTTTGTTGAAATTAAAATGTTTGCCTAGAATTTTAAACCCACTATTTTGAGTTAGAAAATACAAAATCAGTATTTTTCTGGATCAAGTTTGTAAGGCCCTTCATTGAACTTAAATACCTGTATTAAATCACATCTTCTTATTCTCTTTTCAAGACTGACCAAATTAAGATCTTTCAAACATGGTTCTTATGTTGACCAGACCACACACTAGAAATTGAAGGGACGACGACGTTTCGGTCCGTCCTGGACCATTCTCAAGTCGATTGTGAGAGACCATTCACAATCGACTTGAGAATGGTCCAGGACGGACCGAAACGTCATCGTCCCTTCAACTTCTAGTGTGTGGTCTGGTCAACATACTTCAGCCACGTTATTGTGACTCATTGCCTGCATATGGTTCTTATGATTTATTTCTAAGATTTGGTATAAATTTTGTCACAATGCTGAACCACCGAATTTCTGAATGTTCTTTCTCAAATACTGTGATCACAACCCTACAATATTTAGAAATAGGATGTACTAATGAATTGTGTAGTGATAAAGATAGTCTCATTGAAACGCTTACAGATATCACAATAAGACCTATTATAGTGGCACCTCGCTTCAACAGACTAATTGTTCTTTCAAGGAATCTGGTTCACTGATTTTTGCCATTTTTACATTGCCTATTTATTTTATAGATAATGCATTGTGTATACTGTATTTAGACAACAAAGTGATAGACAAACAATACATTTTAAATAGTGTATACTAAAATATATAATATGAGAAGAAACAATACAAATTTAAAGAAATAATAGAATAATAATATTTATTTAATACATTGGAAAAGAGCATATTAATTCTTGATAACCTAAGAAGACAGAATGAATGAATGTATTGTGTACAGAACAGTATTGTACATTAATACTGTATTTAACACAAAGGAAACTCGACAACTGCAATACAGTACTATGTTGCTGTATACACCATTTATATATAGCAGCCTTGCCTAATATGCTATGCTTTGAATTCCTTATAAGTTTTCCATTTAGAAGCTTTGCCATCAGTTCTTTCTTTACCTTGACACTATTATACTGCTGCTATTGGAACAATAGACTATGTGAGAATAGTGTACTTTCCAATACCACAATCTACTTGAGAATGGTCCAGAACGGACCGAAACGTCGTCGTCCCTTCACCTTCTAGTGTGTGGTCTGGTCTTCATAATTGAAATTGAAATTGAAATAAGTTTGAGGTAAAATACACACAAAGGGATGAGGTAGCTCAAGCTATTCTCACCCCATTCAGTACAACGTGTTAATATATACATAGACAGTCTTCATAATTGTTTGGCGAGATGAATGAGTTTCTTTGCTTTCAATCATAGCAATAATATATTCTACTGTATTCTATTTATTCTTCTTCTTGTAGTTTCCTCAGTGAACAAGATGTTTGCAAGTTTGACAACTTTTTATTTAATAATTCCACCATTTTGGTTTGATGTATATTTTAGACCATCTGTATCACAATGGTACATGTATACTTTCCAATACCATAATATATATCTCTCCTGAACCATTAAATCTCTGTCCATGTAGGATTCATGAATGATGTTATTCCAATTAGAATATGAAAGTTTTTTTGGCTCATTTTGGCAAAATTTGCACTTTTATTATCTTATACTGTACTGTTTTGCAACTTCTGTTTAATTGTTAAATTTGATATTGAATGTGACACTGATGATCATAATTTATTAATACTTTGTTAGTAGTTAAAATTAAATATAGTACATATGCCTCCCCCGAAAAGCTTATGAACCATTTAAGTTTTGTAGGGCATAACAAAGTTTGTCAGTGTCAGGCAAAATCTGTCACTGTACTCTCTGAAAACTACAATGTTCCTAGCTTTTATATCATTCTTAATGTCTTGCTGTTCCATACAAATGTGTTCTCTCTCCAAAATGGAAGGCAGCCCAACTTCCAACTTTTGGGCTGTGTTGGGTTGGAAGAGGGGGGGGGGGACACCCACATGGGATGGATGGAAAAAAATGTGTTTGGGAAAATGGCATAGATATACAATACTGTGCAGTCTGATTCCCCTACCCGGATCATCACATTTAAACTACAGTATAACATTTAGCTTCAATTGAAAAGGCAGAACTATCATTCATTCATGCTATGTAAACAAACTGCTCTTGCTCGTTTCTATTAATTATCTTGTTTATCGTTCATGCCCATAATTCCTAGCTGTCATTTAACGTATCTGCCTAGCTTTTATCATTCCTTCCCACTTCTACCCTTGAATACGTTTACATTGTCTAAACTTTTGTTACCCATTTGCTGCACAGAAACATTTGACTGTAACAAAGCTTCACAGTCATATATGAGTTTTCAAATCTTTCTTAGTTTCAGTATGTTCTTAAAGTATATTCGAAGAGTAATTGGCTTTTTCAGGATTTCGTTCTATCCCTTGGTGCAGACACTTTTGACCAGATACTGATAACTTTGTACTGTTTGTCTTCTCCCTCATGATTGGAATCTATTAATATAGCCTCACCTAACATGCATTTTATTTTATCAAATTTGTGACAGCTTGATCAATGAGTTACATCAAAGGTGTCGATAGTTGCAAAAGTACTGTATGTACAGTAGTGTGAAAGATAAGATTCATGAGAAGAATGTTTGTTGAGACAGATTCTCAGGCAGTGCTATGCAAAATAAGAGTAGCGATAAGTGCGTATTCTGATCAGAGAAAGAGTGGGATAAGTGTCTCGGTGTAAGATAATTGGAGACTGGCAGAAAGTCTCAAGGTAAGGTAATTATGAGGAGAAGGCACTAACCAGTCCGACTATACAACACTTGGAAGGGATATGAGAGCAAGAAGCTGGGATAGAATGGAGGAAAAGATATAGTGCCTGAACCATCGGGAACTGAATGCTAACCTGCAAGAAGCAAAACCTCCATTGTACTGACGAGTCCAAGCAGTTGGGCCCTCCTTTCGTCCTATCCCAGTTTCTTGTCCTCGTATCTTCCAAGTGTTGACGCAAAAGGAAATAGTTTTGAAAATGTGAGTGCAAAATGGGTTTATATTGAGAATAATATAGTGAAAGATGTGGTCGTAAGTTGGTGAAAGAGGGAGGGACTTGCCTACCTACCTATCTGTGGGCGGTAGGTAATACATGGGTCAATGAAAATGACAAGAGGTCATTGGGAAGAAATGTGACTTATGGGAAAGGTTGCTACATTAATGATGTGCCAAGTGATGTGAAATGCATGACAGAAAGTGGAATGTAATAATTGTAAAAATATTGTTAGGTAAATGGTTTGTGATGAAAAAAAAGGATATAGGTTGAGGACTTTGGAGGCAAATTCGTTGTTGACTTTGTAAGAAATAATGCAATAATTATACAAAATAGTTAGTGTTGTGGTGGGGAAATAGAGGAGGTGAAAAGAATAAGAATGTTGGGAGGGGTTGGGGGGGGGCTGTGTTGACAGGTTTGCTTGCTGTTACCAATAGGTGGAGTGAACATTTTCAAAAGTCTAACAGGTTACAAATGGAAAAGAAAATGTTTTAACAACATGATTTAGAATGAGTAGTGTTAGCAGAAGACTAGTGGAATAGAGTAGGTTTAAGTAGGGGGAAATTAGAGACACTTAATGTTAATGAGGGGGTAAGTTTCCTTGTATAGATGGAATAACTGTAGATATGCTGAAGTATGAAAATGAGGTGATGGAGGATATACTGTTAAAGACACTTGACTAAATGTGAATGCTGGAGTTGAGTGTTGGCTCTTTGGTTCCACATCTCCACCTTCAATCAAATGGTGTACAAATTCCCAAGTATGTTGATGGGCTCTTGTCATATCTACGTATGAAGGTGTGTATGCAGTCTGCCTCCATAAACTTAACATTCCAAACATTTGAATGCATTCCATGTGTAGTGCATTCCATTTGTTCACTATTGACAATGGCAAAATTCTTTCTAATGTGTCTGTGGCTCATTTTGGTACTTAAGTTTCCATCTCAGGTCCTGTTTATCTCAAAGTCAGGACTGAGACCCTACATTTACCGTCATAGTACTGAATGTTAGCTTTGGGTTCCAGTTGTGTGTGCTCTTTTTGTTTTGTCGCTTGCATCTCTATCTTCAATTGGATTTTGAGGTACAAATGTAGGTGATGACTGTATTGATGACTCTCCTGCCCGAAACGCTTTGCGTAATAGTGGCTTTAGGCATTGTATGTACTAGATCTATCTATAAAGCCAACAAACTTTGTAAAATCTCTTTATGTATGTACCTTTACCTAAATAAAAATTATTATTATTATTATTATTATTATTATTATTGTTATATGGGATACTGTATTGACTTAGCCTACAAGAACAGTGAGAAAATAAATAAAATTAAATTTAAATATTTAGTGGGATTATACACCATAATATTTAATTTTGCCATTACAGTACTCTATTGTATTAGTAATTACTGCACTGTGGTGTGATCATAACATATACTACTTACGTTAATGATACACATTTCAATTGTTTTCAGTGGGTTACATAACATTATCATTAGTTTTTGTTGCATTTACATAATGCAGAACTCTATATGGACTACATAGTATTTGAGTCATTCATTAAATTAAAATGTTGTAAATGGCAGTGGAGAACTTCATTTGCAGGACTGTAGTATAATACAGTAGTTCTTTCTGGTAACTGTATTAGGAACATTATTGGGGTTTTCCCTGGAAGCTATAGATTATATTTTATATGGCATCTTTACAGTGAATGAATATTTTATTACACTTCAAAGATATTGGGAAAGGGAATTTTTTATGATACCGTACTGTAATGTACTGAGTAAGTACAGTACTGTTCTAGTAGTGTGTTTGCACATGCTTTATTGTATTTAAAGGTTACATAAATAAATCCTGTAATTGTTTAATTTTTTTTAATCATGTAGGATTGCTTGCTTGTTGATAGGCAGTCTAGTCTTACTTTTTCATTTCATATTAGTCACAAGTGAAACATCTCGCTATTTGCAGATGTCACTGGTGTTTGATCTCTGCAGTGAGGTTGAAAGACGGAGGCTTAGACGGTGACTGCGCATCGGGTTGAAGGAATGAGTTAGTGAGTACGTTAAAGGGGGGGTGGGGATGGGTTGTGGTGTTGAAATTATACGCACTTTATAAATGTTCATCTAGGACATAGGCATATATACTGTACAGTATTATGAAAATAAGTGCCTGGGGGCTGAGTGGACAGCGATCGGGGTTTGAAGTCCTAAGTGTCTGGGTTCAATCCCCGGTGGAGGCGGAAATAAATGAGCAGAGTTTCTTTGGGAATCCCTGTTCACCTAGCAGTAAATAGATATCCAGGAGTTAGACAACGGCTTTGGGCTGCTTCCTGAGTGTGTGTGTGTGTGTTGAGTGTGTGTGTGTGTGTGTGAGTGAGGTGAGGTGAGTGAGGTGAGGGAGGGAGGGAATGAGTGAGTGAGTGAGGGAGGGAATGAGTGAGTGAGTGAGGGAGGGAATGAGTGAGTGAGGGAGGGAATGAATGAGTGAGTGAGGGAGGGAATGAGTGAGTGAGTGAGGGAGGGAATGAATGAGTGAGTGAGTGAGGGAGGGAATGAGTGAGTGAGTGAGGGAGGGAATGAGTGAGTGAGTGAGGGAGGGAATGAGTGAGTGAGTGAGGGAGGGAATGAGTGAGTGAGTGAGGGAGGGAATGAGTGAGTGAGTGAGGGAGGGAATGAATGAGTGAGTGAGGGAGGAAATGAATGAGTGAGTGAGGGAGGGAATGAATGAGTGAGTGAGTGAGGGAGGGAGGGAATGAGTGAGTGAGGGAGGGAGGGAATGAGTGAGTGAGGGAGGGAAGGAGGGAATGAGTGAGTGAGGGAGGGAGGGAATGAATAAGTGAGGGAGGGAGGGAATGAATGAGTGAGTGAGTGAGGGAGGGAATGAATGAGTGAGTGAGGGAGGGAGGAAGGGAGGAAATGAGGGAGGGAGGGAGGGAGGGAATGAGGGAGAGAGAGAATGAATGAATTAGGATTAAGGACCTCCTCGAAACGCTATGCGTGCTAGTGGCTGTACAAGAATGTAATAACTCTTGTATATATAAATAATAAAAAAAAAAAATAAAAATAATAATAAAAGGTGTTCTGTGTGGTGTATCTTAGGTTCTGGTATGTTGCCAAATATATACAATGAGATTGGGTTATTTAATGCCTTATGCAGCCCGTTAGCACACATTCCCTGGTATTTCATCGCTCCATACATGATGGTAACGTGGTTTACAGCTTCAACAGAAAGAAAAGATCTGTGTAATTTTTGGTGAAGCAGTCAGCATATATGAATTTATAAATTATAAAAGATATTTTTAACAAGTTAGCTTTGGCTGCGAGTTAGCTTTGGCTGCAAGTTTGACAGGCGAGTAAATCATTGAAAAAAGTAAGTTCTTGGAACTCTTAAATAAAGAAAACTAATTCATTGCTTGCAAGTGTCTCATGTTTAGTTTACCTATTTAATAGATCTAACAAATGTGGATTTTGTTATTTGGATGTACACGTATTAGTAAGGAAGAAATTGAAGCATGGAAATTATTCTAGTGTGCTGAAGAATCATGCTTTCCTTTAGTGTCAATTGGATATTAATGAGACTGAACTGGTAGCATTGGTAGGAAAGACAAATATTATATTACTATGAATTGTAAAGGTAATATATAGGCAGCATTGTAGACAACAGTACTGTGTAGAGATAGAAAACTATAAATATTAAAAGTGGCATGTGCCAGTTCACAATACTTTTCACACTAAGTATCATCACACACCACCTCCATCACCACACCCATCACCACACTACTGTCATTCATAGGTGTACTCCAGCTGTACAAGACAAGGTGTAAAGTGCGTCTTAGGAGTTGTTGTGTACACATGTCAGACATCCTCTACCTCTTGATAAACTGCTTCACCATAGTATTGTTTTCTGCCACCTCTTGTGCTGTGTTCATATGCAATCCTTGCTGCCCCAACTGTTCATGATTGTGTTCAGAGGACTCTTGGGGATCATGTTGTCGGGTGCACATGAATTTACAGCTCAGAAAAGAGCTTCTATAAAAACATACTTTTTGTTTCCATTAATTTACAATTTCTATTGTTTTGGTCATCCTTCTCTTCTATTACTTGTGTGTATGGGCCGCCATCATTATTTTGTAATAGCCAAATAACGTGTATGATGGGCAGCCAAATAGCCCGTAGAATGGGTCTCTTTTTAGATGTTATAGACACTTTACAAATCTTTTTAAGCTCTTTTTAAGACATGAAATGAGGACGATTGTTCATGTGGTGCTGACTCAAGCTCTTGCAGCGAACAAGACATTACTTCACCTAGTTAATATCAGTAGTCTCCCTACTTCTTTCATCCATATCCTTCCTCTTACATATTGTACTCTTAAGTTTTGGCATTGAGTGAAACTTTTAAGGTGATTTGGCATTAATTATGTTTGTCTAATAATCGTGGTTCCTTTCAGGGTGTGTATGTCCTTTGTTTGTGGTGTTTAATGTGACAGTAAAAAATATTATTATTTGAAGTAATCCATTCATTATACATCAGGCTGTTCTTCATGCCTTGCATGAAAAAATCTTTAGCCATTTAGCATTTTTTCATATTGTACCCCTAATTGAATTGAACTCTCAGCCAAGATGGAAAATGTCTAACAATAGTTTAATTTTTTACTTCTTTTATTAAAATTTAAAGATAATTATTTGGCTCTTTTATGCCATATTGACTTTAAAACTTGGTGTTACAGGTGTTGGAGGCATGGCTGATCCAATGTTCGTAGCCCAGCGAAGTAACAACCAGCTGGCTCTCAACATTAGCGATGTCAGTCAGTATCTTCCCTATTAATATTTTGGATAATAGTATACGTCTCCTGTTCTTCCTTTGCTTTCCTTCTCAATATTTTGGATAATAGTATACGTCTCCTGTTCTTCCTTTGCTTTCCTTCTCAATATTTTGGATAATAGTATACGTCTCCTGTTCTTCCTTTGCTTTCCTTCTCAATATTTTGGATAATAGTATACGTCTCCTGTTCTTCCTTTGCTTTCCTTCTCAATTTGCTTTCTCTCTTCTCATGTTACTCTCATAATCCTTTCTTGCTTCTCTTCCAAGTTGTTTTTCTACACCTTTTCTGCTTCCTTCATCCCATGTTACAATTCTCCAACATTACTTTCCCTACTCCTGTTCCATTCCTCCTCTATGCTATTTCTTTTAACCTTTTCCCCTTGAAAGTTGTTCTCTGTGAAACTGAGCAGAGATCTGTCATAATGTGTGAGGAAAATATTTGAGGGTCTTGCTCCAAACCTACTTACTCAAATTACAACGTGCTGGAGAGAGAGAGACGTGTAGAATAAACCTTATGTAAAGTAGGAGAACTATAAAGCACAGTTGGAGAACACTGAACATCAGAAGTAGACTTCACACTTCAACTTCCTACTAGCAGACATAAAAGGTTAATGACTTTTCAACTTCCTACTAGCAGACATAAAAGGTTAATGACACTTCAACCTCCTCCTAGCAGTCATTAAAAGGTTTGACACTTCAACCTCCTACTAGCAGACATAAGGAATATTGCTATAGTAATTCAGATTCCCGGTAAAAAATTTTTGAATATGAAACATTTTCCACATGTTCATTATCCAAAGGAACGTGGGGTCCCGTTATGTGATGCATATACAGTACTGTACTGTATGCACCGAACTGCAGCTGTGTGCCTCACGGTGGGAACATCACCACCAGCACTGGGTTCACTGATATCTGAACCTTAGACATAGTATTTATCATTGTCTAGATTTTGTTGTCACTCTCATCATCGAATTACAGTACTGTATTGCTGTTTCTTATTAACTTATCATTAAGTGATGTCATGGGCATGAGCTGGATGGTGGTGTTGTGAACTAGTACTGCATGTGCTACTCATGTTTGCTGTGTTAGTACTGAAGCTCTCTACAAACGATGAGTCACAATAATATGGGTGTAGATATGATGACAAACCACACACCTGAAGATAAAGAGACGACAACGCTCTGGTTCATCCTGGAATGGTCCAGGACGGACTGTAACGTTGTCGTCTTTATCTTCTGGCGAGTGGTTTGGTCATCATACTGAAGCCCTCGCAACATGATTTTTTTTTCAAATATGGATCTGTTTACTAGAGGCCTGAGGAAGTGGGTGGGTACCTGTCGCAGTTTCAATTATTGAGCAATACTGCACTTAACAACATCTTGAGACGTGATGCACACCACCAGTCAAACATTCTTGGATTTGATGTGCAGTTAAGGGGTTAAGCCATCAGCTTCTAGTAATTTGATTGTTGATCATTTTCTTATTTACTTTATCACTTAATCCCACATTGGATACTACAGTATATGTATCTACAAGATTTTTGACTGATTTCTTTTGTTGTCATTTTGGATCATCTGGCTTTTATCCCATGTCTTGGCCATAATGGATATTCAACTTAGTATATAGCCTAGACAATTGATGGAAAGTAGATAAGTCATTGTATTTCATGCTTTCCTGCATTAAAAGAAAGCTCCTTGCTCTCTCTCTTCCCAGATAGTTGTGGTATCAAGCAATACAAGCTAGAGTGTACAGTATAAGAATACCTGACAGGTAAATAAGAGGTAGATATGATATATAATAAGAGGTATAAAAGCTAGTTATAATAACCTTAAGATTAAGTTTACACATTGATAAGATTGTTATTCTAATTGTTGTTATGCTTGCTCTACAGTTGATATTATTGGACAAGATGCCCCTGAGTACGCAGCTTCTGACATGTCTGTGTATGGAGGCGTACAGATGGGTGGCGGGGGTGCACAGAGTGAAGCTAATTATTCTACACTAACGGCTGTGTCCAGAGCTGATCCGGAACTAGAAAGCAAGCGCAAAGCTTATGTGAGTATCATACGTCTGTCCTTCATTTGTGTGATGAGGAAAGTGGCAGGGCTGTTAATGGGGAGGTTATGTACTATAGTACATAACCAACATTAGCATATTCCTTTGCTATTGGTAGTATCATATACCATTGCTATTGGTAGTATCATATACCATTGCTATTGGTACTATCATATACCATTGCTATTGGCTTTTTGTTATATAAAATACTGGGTCAGCTATTGGCCCTGTAGCCAGGAGTCTACATGTGGGTTAGCTTTACACATTCAGCAACATTTAAAAAAATTCAGATTTGGCTTTCTAAAATTGGAAATTTAAGGTAGATACACATTCACAATCTGTGTTGAGAATGTTTAAAGAAAATATTACTGAAGTATTGGATTTTGTTTGTTTTGGATAATTACTAAATAAATATGGCATTAGAAGGAATTTAGCATTGGAGATTTATCTTAATGCTTGTAATTTTTAAAAAGGCTTTATTTAATTTTCCATTTAAGATACATATAGATGGAAAAATATAAAGTTTTATATAAATTCATAATTTGTTAACATTTTTAAATTGTTCAATTTTAGGTCCGAATTTTGGAGCAGCCACAAGCAAAAGCGTTACGATTTAGATATATCTGTGAGGGACGGTCTGCTGGCTCCATACCTGGTGTCAGAAGCACCGCTGAAAACAAGACTTACCCAGCTATTCAGGTCAGTAAATTGTCATTCATGAAGACTCTCATACATGTGAAGTTATTAGTGAGGGTAGCATGATGCACAGTCACTGGGCAACCAGTTCTCTTAACACTATCACACTCTTCGAACGTCTCCGGCGTTCGATTTTTTTTCTCTCGAGTCCGAGCATCGGACTGTGCTGGCGTCTGATAAAAAAATATTTGTATAAAATTCATTTATTATCTGATCGACTTTGGAGTAGTTTCAAAATGAGTGCCTTTAGAGTGCGCACAATTTGATATAAAAATAAAAGATGTAACTCGAAACTTGATGTCAGAACACTTGAAAAATCTAAATAAGTTTTTGGTCAAAATTTTAAAATATTTGTTAAAATTCTATTTATTGTGCTATTATTATGGGGCTAGCTTTAAAATGCATGCCTTTAGATTGCGAACAATTTGATACCAAAATGAAAGACATAACACAAAAATTTGTCAGAATACTGGAAAGATATAAATAATTTTGTGATGATCAGCGTCCAAAATTAAAATATTTCTTAAAATTCTAGTTATTGCTCTATTATTATGGGAATAGTTTTACAATACACACCTTTATATTGCAAATAATTTGATACCAAAATGAAAGACGTAACATGAAAATTGATGTTATCAAACTTAATGAGTATACGCATTAGGCTGTGGTGTACAAATTGGTGCTCGTTCTTGGGTAACTTTAAGCTTTGCTGTGGTTAGTCATGTGGGGCTTTTGGACATTATATGCATATACACCTGCAGGGAATTTAATTGCGAACACAATGATACCAAAACAAACGACGTAGCACGAGAATTAACCCTTAAACCGCGCAAATCATATATATATGCTTTCAGTGACAAAACCGAAGCCGCGCATGTCATATATATATGATTTTGTGTCCAACGCTATAATTTAAATGCCCCGCCCTGGGATAGGGGCAGCTATAGGGCAGCCACGACCAATAGTTGCCAGATGCCACCTAGAAAAGGCGGGTGAGGGCGGGTGAGGTGTTGTTGAGGGAGGGAGTGGCAGCGAGTGGCTGGCTGGTGTGTGGCGGTCACTCCTCGTTGCTTTTTGACTCACAAGACCAACTTAGTAGTTCGTTATGGTGAACAAAACATGCAGATACTTATATATAACCTGTGTATATAGTGTAACAACAGCAAAACTATTTGTTTATTGTTTTATGAACATAATAATTGAATCACTAATATGCACACCATAATTTTGAGTACAGCGATGGTTGACACATTTTATTATATAAATATGTCACAATTCACTGTATTGAATAATATTACTGCAAAAAACTAAGAAAAAATCAATAGGAGACATTGAAATAATTAGGTAATAATATATTTGTGGCAACTCCCGCCTGACAACTCGAGCGGAGTAGACCTCGTCTGGCGAAGGCTCTGTCAACGCCCCTTTTTTGTCAGACTTCCCTACCCTATTGCGGCTAAAATATGCCACCTACGATTTTTTGTTATTTTTCCGTGATCAGGGAACAAAAATGAACACTTCTATAAGACAAAAGAATTTTTTGGAATTTTTGTTGTTGTTGCGCCTGTGGGTGTTAATTCCATTTGGGCCCCTAGCGGTTTGAGGGTTAAGGTGAGAAAACTGAAACAAGTATACACATTTTATGGATTTTGTGCGCTCACAGGTAACTTTTGCCGACTTTAGGCTTTGCTGCGGGAAGTCACACCGGACTTTTGGACATTATATGCATATACACCTATTGCAAACACGATACCAAAATGAACGACGTAGCACGAGAATTAAGATGAGAAAACTGAAACGAGTACTATATACACATTTCGGTGTCGCCGCGCGCTCGCCCGCATGATTGCCCGCACGTCAGGGGCATGACCTCTAAGTTGGCGGCGCGCATGCCCGGGGCGCGAAAGTGTTAAAATAATGTCGTTTTTTGCTCGTATGCGCACTATGACCAAAAATGGACATACAGTACTGTATAGTAATTTGAAATGAAATCGGCTCACAAAAGTTATACACTGTCCCGTTTTCTGTTCGAGTCCTCCGGCTTATTCGGTTAGGTTAAGAGAGGAAACTTTCAATTAACGGTCAAGTCTTGGCAAAAGTCAAGACTTTTGTGCCATATCACCTTACCCAAAGCGAGAATAAGTATGAATGTATTTTGTGTGTAAACTAAGTCTTTGAAAATGTAATTAGGAATTACGAAACATGTTCAGGCGTCAGACCAGGAATAAAAAGAATGAATTTTGGAGAGTTACTTTATCAATTACCCTCGACAGTGAAGAATAAAGTAAGAAATATTGAGAAGATTCGTGTTAGATTTATGAATCTTACCCTTTCGGTCATATTCAACTACATATGTTTACAAGAAAGACTGCTACTAAAATATACTAATATATATATATACTGTGTGTGTGTGTGTGTGTATTTATTTATTTATTTATTTATTTATTTTATTTTTTTATTTTTTTTTTATTTTTTATTTTTTTTTTATTATTTTTTTTTTATTTAGTTAATAAAGTTGTGGGGGTAGCACCTCTGGTGCAATTGCAGGGACCCATAGTCTTGGAGAAGAAAGTAAAGAGTATTCAGAAAAGACCTTGTGGGATCTCACTGAACACTTTACTCTATCTATCTATCTCCTTCATTTACTGAACATGAACAAGAAATTCTCATACAAAATTGAACTACATTATCTAAATGAGGCCTATCATGTTCAAGATAAAGCTGAAGAATAACATTAGATGTCTTATTACTAATGCATCTACATATCAATCTCGGTATCTTATGTACCTTTTTATTTATATATAACTAAAATAGCAACTCGTAATAGAACACGAAACAGTGGATACAGAGTGGAAAAGTTAAGATTTAAAAAAGTGCGAGGAATTAAAATATTTGGAAATTGGGGTGTCGGAGAACATAATTAACGATGAGTTGCTGAATAGTATCAAGTGATTGTTTGCTGAATAGTATCAAGTGATTGTTTGCTGAATAGTATCAAGTGATTGTTTGCTGAATAGTATCAAGTGATTGTTTGCTGAATAGTATCAAGTGATTGTTAGACTTGTCAGTGGATGTGGTTGGATATTAATAGAAGCTGTATTGTATGGGCCAGTAGGTCTTTTGCAGTCTCCTTTATTCTTGTCTTATACTCAAAAACAAATGTGAAAAGTACAGTAGTGGAATTTCTGAAGGTATACAGTAAATGGACAGTGAACAATAGCTGATAAACTGGGCTCTAGAGAGCCTAGTCTTTTATTAAACACAGTTAAGTAATTGTGTTATTTTTTTGTCTAGCTTCCAACTTTGACCTTTAAATAACCCTTTATTAGTACAATAGAAACAAGAAAAATGTAATTGGGTATATGTGTATTTCTTGGAATATTCGACTGATGTCACGTTCCCTTTGATTCCTCACAGCAGCAGATTAAACAATAGCATCCAAGTGAGTTTTTTAATTTTTGTACCAGTGTGTGGTGGGTTATACACCTACCTTATTTACCGCACTTAAAAATAAATTAATTTTCTGGGGGGAGCCCCTACGACTCCCCGGAGCTTACCAGGCTGATATGCTAATGTCAGACTTTGGCATCAGTCATGTGTACGGAGTTCTTATGGGCCTACCGGGGACCACGAGCCAGAACCTGGCCCCCCTCAGAGAGGCAAGGGGAGCAATGGCGTATAGAAACCCCCGTGTGGTTGGAAGCATTCTATGTCTGCCATCGACCGGGTTAGGCACCGAGAAAGGTAGGCATCCCAAAACAAACCCCTATTCTGGTGAAAATTGCAACCAAAAGCCGAACGAGTGGATAGAACTCCCCAAACAAAAACCAGGAAACTAGTATGACGTCATTCGTCGTCGCGCCGCTGTCTGCGCAGCCCACCCCCCCTAGCCGGGAGAGGGAAGGGGGAACCCCAGACCTACAGCGCCGGCAATCCACACCCCAGTTCTTGAGGCTGATGCTATCGGCTCGGTTGTGTGCTCTGTCTCCGGTCTTTTTGCGGCACTGTGCCTTGTGTGTGGCTGCTGTTCTCTAGGGGGTGCGAGAGCCAGGAGTTATTCCTCAGTACTCGGGCTGCATGCGCCTAGGGTTCCCTTCCCTAGGTGCCCAGTAAGTACTGCCCTTGGAGCTTGGGGTTACCTTCCATAAGTTTCTTGGGGTCTGCCTCTGTGTGTCCATTTTACTGCTTGGTTTCTCGGCCCCCTTCGGGTACTTGGGGGGTTTTGTCTCCTCTAGTTAACCTTAGGGTAAGAGGCAGTTTTCGCACTGGTAGGGGCGCAGGGTGCTGTGCAGCTAGTTGTCACCTGTCACAGCGGCCAGCTCTGTTCCTTGGGGTACGTTGTCCTCTTGCGGGGTTTTGTTTTTCTTTTTGTTTTTGCCTTGGTGGGGGGGGGGGGTTCTGCCCTCATTGCCACTGGTGTTTGGCTTCACCCTGATACTTGGTGGTGCCCCCTGCTTGGTCCCTGTGAGCGTACACGTCCTTGGGGTTCAGTTTTAGACAGTTTGGTAATTTTGGGCGCCTGGGTTTACCTGAGTGCGAGTCTTCAAGTAAACGCTCAGGACCCTGGGAATCCCCTAGGGGATGTGTGGGTCCGATGGATGTGACCCCGGGGTCCCCCCTTGCTTCGTGTGAGTTTGAGGATTGTTCGGTCCCCTTGTCTCAGGGCGACTCTCACTATTTTTGCCTCCGTCATGCAGCCTGTTGGGTCGGTGACACTTTTGACCCTGAGTCCTGTGAGTACTGTTGCTTGCTGGTGACTCAATTTACCCAGTCTATAGATGATGATCTACGGGTACAGGCTGCACAAGCGTTGCATTCTAGGTTTCGGTTGTTGCAATGTGCTAGGTTGGTTGTTCACCCGGATGCCCCGCGGCTGCTCCGTTTTGCTTATAGGGACCCGGACTTGGGGGTGGGGGTCGCTTGGACCCTGGTTCAGTCCGTACCTCCTGGTCCTTCCCCTCCTGTTGTGTGTTCTGGTCCCCCTCCCCTGCTTCCGGCCCCGAAACGTCTGAAGGTTTCGGAGTCTGGGCAGGGGTTAGTTGGTTTTGAGACTCGGGCAGCCTCGGGGGAGGCCCCTTCCTGTGTGGTGACGGAGGCATTCGAGTCTCCTCCTCCGACCGAAGCCTCTGGGTCTGACCAGTGGGCCTCTTTCTATCCGGCTTCTATGGCTGCGCCAGCCTTGTCTAGTGGGGTCGGTGCTTGGGGGGAGGACTCAGCCCCGGGTCCTGCTGAAGAGGACTCTGGGGCTGGGATGGCCTGACTTGGGGGCCTTGGGCCCCGCTGGACCCCGCCTGGGTTTTTGTACCCTCTGAGCGGGGCTTACTGTTGCAAGGAGTGGGGTTTTCTTTTCCCCCCTCTGCGTACGAGTTGGATTTGGTGTCTGCCCCTCTCCTGGTTCGGTTCCGTGTTTCCCCGGCTGCTTCGGTTCCGTCTTTCCGGAGATTTTCGGCTTATCGCATCCAACCTGCTGCGGTGTGGGCGGCCCTTGCGCCGAACTTCCTGCGTGACCCGGATTATGCCTCGGCAATGGATCCCTCGGATTTCAGGTTTGGGACTTCATTCCCTTTCTTGCTCCGTTGCGAGATTCCGGAGTCGTCCTGGCTGGCGGACTATCATGTCTTTGCCTCGGAGGCTTGGCACTCCTTCCGCTGTGGCGGGAGGCTTTGACGGTGCTTCAGGTTTTCCTGGGGGGCGACCTTGAGCACCTCAATGAGTGCTTGTTTGCTCCTGCTCTCCCCCGAGATGTTGGTGTCGTTCAACTCCATGTGCAGGTTCCCCTCCTTTCGGCGGCGCAGGTGGTGGAGGACTTGCGTGCTCGGGGCCTTTTGGTTGCGGCCTTGTGCTTCTCTTCCCTCCTGGAGCTGTCTTCTGACTGGCTCACGGAGGATGTGGAGGCGCTTGGGGCTGTTCCGGGGTCTGGCACCTTGGCCTCGGCGGCTCGCTCATCGGCTGCCATGCTGAAGCTTTTCGCGCTGATCTTGCGGGATGCGGTGGCTCTGTTTTATGCCTCCCAGCTTGCATGTCAGCAGGCGGTGCTTGCCGCCTCTGTGGAATCCGCTTGGGCCTTGGCTCTTAGGCTTTTGTCCCATTTTTGCCCTCTCTTGTTTGAGGCTTTAGCCGTTGCGCAGTTTATTCAAGCTGCTTCGGCTTCTTGCCGTCCTATGTCGGACTTGCTAGTTTTCCGGGGGTCCCGTGGTGGGCCTTCCCGGAAGGGTCGTGCCAAGGCTCGGGGTTCCTCTCGTTGTGGTAGGCCACTGGTGTCAGGTTCGGCGCAGTGTTCGCTCTGTGCAAGGTTCTGGGTCTCATAAGGGACGCCGGCCCTTTCGCGGTTCGCCCCATTGACGGGCCGATGGGGGGGGGGAAGGCTTGCGCTGTTCGCTCACTCCTGGTCACACGATTTGTGGGCGTTTTGGGTTGTTTCGCGTGGCGTTGGGTGGCCCTTCCCCCTGCAGGGGGTTTGGGGCTCGCAGGGCAGGCTTCTTCCCCCTGCGCTCTGTCAGGTCATCTTGGAGTGGGTTCGCTTGGGCATGGTCGAAACGACGACGTCCCTCAGATGGGTTTCCCGTCTGTTTCCAGTCAAGAAACGGGATTGCGCAGACCTGCGGTTCATTCTGAACTTGTCCCGTCTTAACCCCTGGGTTCATTGCCCCTCCTTTCGGATGACCACACTGTCCCAGGTTTGCCTACTGTTGGAGCTGGAACGCTTGGATGGTGTCCCTGGACCTCCGGGACGCTTATTGGCACGTCCTGATTCATCTGCGGCTGTGGTCCCGCTTGTGCCTGTTTCTGGGGGTCTCCCGGGTCTCCCGGCGGTTGCTTGAGGGTCTGTGTGGGAGCCTGAACTTCGCGATGCTGGTTTACCCACCGGGTCGGGTTTGGCTTCGTCGGCTGTTCTGGTTCCTTTGGGGACGTCCTTTCTGCCTCTCGCGATTGCTGGGTTTGGACCCCGGGGGCTTTGCATCGGTTGCTGCATCACAGGCTTCCTCTTTGAGATTTTCAGGGTTCGGTGCCGTGGCGCCTACCCAAGCCCTCACTCGATGTGTTCACGGACACGTTGTCTCTCGGCTGGGGCTTTGTGACCAGTGCTCACCAGGCCGGCCAGGGTCGGTGGGATCCGTCCTTCCGTCGAGCTCACAGCACTGTGTGGGTTTGTTTTTGGATGCCTACCTTTCTGGGTGCCTAACCCAGTTGATGGCAGACACAGAATGCTTCCAACCACACGGGGATTTCTATAGGCCATTGCTCCTTCCTGTCTCTCTGAGGGGGCCCGGTTCTGGCTTGTGGTCCCCGGTAGGCCCATAAGAACTCCGTACACATGAGTGATGCCAAAGTCTGACATTAGCATATCAGCCTGGTAAACTCCGGGAAGCCTCCGGGACTCAACCAGAAAATGGCGTTTCATTACATTTAACGCTGGTTTTTTTTTTAGGTGATGGGATATAAAGGGCCTGCAGTGGTTGTTGTTTCGTGCGTAACTGTGGATCCGCCCTATCGTGCGCACCCCCACAATCTCGTCGGAAAGGAGGGTTGTAAAAAAGGTGTATGTACAATGACCATCAACAATGATTCTATGCAATGTGTCTTCAGCAATCTTGGTATTCAGTGTGTCAAGAAACGTGACGTGGAAGACGCCCTGAAGCTAAGAGAGGAAATACGGGTTGATCCCTTTCAAAGTAAGTAGCATATATAATACCCCTTTATCCCCCAGTCAGTATTGAACTCTTGTGTGTCGGGTGTGTATGCATGTGCCTACCTTCATTTCATTGCAGGGTGGAAGGTGTGTGCTCATGGTGACATCTGCCTCATACTGTATATCTTATGGTGTCTTGCTTGGAGTGCTGCTGTAGGCTTGGCATTCACTACAAAGTCCTGTAATGCATTCCCTTTTTCTGCAACCTACTTCCTAAAGATTTGCTTCCTTATATTTTCTTACTTTTTGTATTTTATTTTAAACATGGGCCCATTGGTTTTGCCTAATGTCATTTGTAGGATACATGTTCTATGTACAGTATTTATTCTGCACTTGATATTATTGTGTATGTTATCATGTCTCCTATTACTCTTCTTTCTGCTAGTTTTGATGGTTTCTGTTCCCACTAGTCTTTCTTAATAGTTCTTTCTCTATAGCTCTGGTTGCCAACGTCATACTTAACTCTTGAGCCTTTTCTAATTTGTCTTTTTTTATTTTAAGTATGGGTACTGTAGTAGAGTTGCATATTCCAGTTTCAGTTTCACTTGTGCTGTAAATCTTTTCTTTATTATTACCCCATTTACAGACATGTGCTTCAGTACTATCCTGATATTTGCTAGCATCACTTGCACTTCTCTCACTGTGGCACTTAGTGATCCTCTGGTGGAATGTCTCTTAAGTCCCATTCTCTCTTACATTTTCTCCAGTTTTTCCAAAGAGTTTGTAATTTTTAAGAGAGATACTATAAACCGTTTCATTGCTAGACATTTGTTTATGTTAAATTTTATTTTCCATCTTTAACTCCATTCTCTTTGTGCATCTTTAATCTCATTGTGCTGAGTGAATCATATTGGTTCTTTGTTTCCTAGCATCTTTACAGGACTTGCAAGCATACTCTTAGCTATGACTTCTTTCTCTGGCATGTCATTTATATACATAATGAATATATTTAGATTCCCTTGTTTATTGGCATCAGAAATCTTGATCAGCAGCAGGTTATTTAGATAATCTCCTTTGATTCAGTCTGATGTTTGACAACTTTGCAGTCAACTAGTTTCCGTCCCATTGAGATTCCATGTACAGAATGCCATAGAAAGGTTTCGTAGAAAGCTTACATATTGTCAGTCAAGTTGACTTAATTTTAATGTGGGATACGTTTTAAAGTTTAATGTAGGACATAACAGTTCTTTTGTTACAGCTGGATTTTCCCATAGGAATCAGCCCCAAAGCATCGACCTTAATGCACTAAGGCTGTGTTTCCAAGTGTTTCTTGAAGGACCCGACAAGGGAAAGTTCACATTTCCTCTGAAACCAGTAGTATCGGATGCAATATATGATAAAAGTAAGTGTTTTCAGCTCATGTGCTTGAATTGGTATAGGAAGTGGGAGGGGGGGGAGGGGTAATATAGGAAATGTGGAGGTGTAAGGTGAACATTTTTGCTAGATCTTGATGATTTGAGCTAGATTATGTTCAATGTTTGTGTTACTATTCATCATTAGAGAAAGTTTGATTTTTTATATAAATAATCCAATTTATTTTAGCTACATTCTGTATTTATTTCCAAGTCAAACTAGGCTTTCAACATTGATGATATCCATTGTCTCTTTGATATAATGCTTTATCTAAAAAAAAAAAAATCTTTTGCCTATTATTTGCTCTTTAGAGAATAATGCAAGTTTTTTTTTTTTTTTTTTTTTTTTTTTTTGTAGAAGCCACATCAGATCTCATAATTTGCAAGCTGAGTGACTGTACAAGTAGTGTGGCTGGAGGGAAGGAGATAATTCTTCTCTGCGACAAGGTCACAAAAGGTAGGTTACTCCCCATTATCTACTGTTCTAGACACTCATCAGCCTGTGCTTACAAGGTTCAGTGTCAGCTCCTCAGCCCTGCTTTTCTCCACCGCCTTTTAACTTAAGTTGTTCCAACCATCCACAACAACAAAAAGTGTGTTCATATGTTTTTTGTTACTTGTTTCTTTAGCTTCATTTTATGGCCTCTTGTTTTGAAGTTGCAGGTGTCAGAAGTTCCTCCTTGTCATCTGTGTCAATTTTTATTTTGTATGTAGTGATCATATTACCTCTTTTCCTTCAATCTTCTAGCTTTGGCATATTTAAAGCCTCCTGCCTCTCCTCTTAGATCATTTTTTTTTTCAGTTATAAAAACCAATTTGGTTTGATGAATGTCTTTGCATCGTATTAAGTTTATTGGTGTGGTTCTTGATATATAGGCACCACACCACTGCTGTGTATAGTATTCTAATTTTGGTGTCGGGAAAGTTGTGAACATTCTCTTTCGATAACAGTAATGGTTATCAGCTTGCCAAAAAACATTTTGTTTGAGGATGCATCCAAGTAATTGAGCTACATTGAGGAGCTCTAAATTATTGTACAAGTTTTGTGTATAGTATTTTGTAAGTAAACTGTAAAGTTAAGACCAAAAAATGACAACGCTTTGGATTAGCAGAAGACATCCTCGTTCGCTTCTATGAGGTCAAGGACGGGATGATAGAATGGGAATCGTATGGTGATTTCCAGGCTTCTGATGTTCATAAACAAGTGGCGATATCATTCAAGACGCCTAGATATAAGTCTCTGGAGGTTAGTATTTTATAGTTTTTGTTTCTAAGATTTTTATTTGAGAAAGTTAATGTTAATGTTTAAACTATGATAGAGTATTTCTTGCACTTGTATTACTGAGTTAAAACAATAAAATTATTTGTTATGCAAACTTTATATGAATATAGAATGTATTGAGAGACTTGTAAAGATGTATAGGTAAAGACTGTTATTATTGAAGGTACAAAGGGAAGGTATTTTGTACAAAAGATCAGACATAATACAGTACAACCTCGAGTGATGACCGCCTCCAATGGCGACCATTTTGGCCAACGAATGCCCCGATTGCCGACACTTCGTCTCGTTAGGCAACCACTTGTTTGAATAACGTCAACACCACATGGTGGGGTCTGGGGCTGCTTCTCGCACATTCTTGGATGCCTCCGACGATGCAAATAAATTATTTTTCTTTTGTGTACAGTTGCTATTGATGCCGGGATGTTGCAAAACATTGACTTTTTGTAGAAAAACGAAATGAACTTTTTTTAAAGAAAGAACAAATGTCAAAAAGGTTCGTTCAGTGTTTGTCGGGTTGGCTGCTCCATTATTGAGAAATAATGAAAAATACAAAGCAAATGGAACACATGTGAAACACAGAAAGATTGTCATAATGGAGCACCCTACCTGACAAACACTGAACAAACCTTCATAGCATTTGTCAGTTTTTCAAATTGTTTCAAACTTTTTTATTTTTCATTTTTTTTATTTAAGAAACAAAGAGCAGCCTACCTGCCGAACACTGAACGAACCTTTTTGACATTTGTTCTGTTTTTCAAAATTATAATTTTTTTTTCATTTTTTTTTATCAGAAACATGGAGCAGCCTACCTTACAGACACCAAATGAACCTTTTGCTATACAAAAAATGATTTTTTTTTTTTAACAAATTTGAAGAAAGAAAAATGTCATAAAGGTTTGTTCAGTGTATGTAAGGTAGGCTGCTCCATTATTTAAAACATCGAATATCATATTGATGTTTTTCGGTGGTAGAACGGATTAATTTGATTTCCATTATTGTCAGTGGGGACATTCATTTTGTATGACGTCCGTTTCACATGACGATCACGGCGCCGGAACGGATAAAATTTGCTATTCGAGGTTCCACTGTATATCGAGTCCTCCGAGTACTTTTCTTACAACTGCTTACTGAGGCAGCAATATACATACTGTATAAGAAAGTTTTAATTTTTGTGTGAAAGTGGAGGAAAAATATAATACAAGTGTTCTTTGATGATTCATGAACTTACTTATCAACTAGTTAGATCAAATGAGAAAATATAGATTACTTTGTGACATTTAATTTTTCTTGATAATTTTGTACAAATAAGTACAGTTGGAATAGCATTCATGTTCATATAAATAGTTACATGAACATTAATTTTTAAAGTAATAAGGGGTTACTTAGGACAGTAATTTTTGTAACATCATACGAAATTAAATAAATTGTAGCTTATTACTGTTACTTAGTCTTAAAATGAATTCTGTTCATATATAATTATTTTATTTTGTTAAGACTTTCTGCTCTGTTTGTAGATTGAGAACCCAGTCAAAGTATACGTGCAGCTGCTGCGACCGTCGGACAAGAGCACCAGTGAACCACGACCGTTCCAGTACCTGCCTCTTGATTCAGGTAGGCCTTTCACCTCATTTAAAAGGCTAAAGAACAATTATGGCTTGTTCCAACGTATTCTGGGCTTGGACTCCCCTCTCACCAGTTCAGGGACTGGAGATGATAATCTTCGGCGCAAGACACCATTACAGTCTCCTCGGTCTCCAGATTTTCTGTCCTCACTTGGCATGGAAGATGCAAAACCAAAGCCACCGACTGACTTGAAATTGGTCAGCCCACCTCCTACTCCTCAATCTCGCCCAGCTGCACCTTCATCTCCTCCATTACTAGCTCAGCCCAAATCACCAGTTGCTTCTACTGGTACTATATACCGGAGCTCCTCGCCTCCTTTATTAATGTCTCCTGACCAGAGTGTAGATGATATTCGACAAAGATTGACAGCAACATTAGAACGTAGAAAAGCTGGGAGAACGTCTCCCAAGCTTGCAGGTCCTCCTCGTCCGTCGCCTTTTTGGTCAGATGATGCTAGTGTTTATTCTGATACCGACATGCTTGATGAGGTTTTAAGTCAAGGCAGCGTTAATGACTTGCTTTCTGCAGTTGGTGATGGGTTTGCAGTGTATGAAGATATCACAGGGTTACCAGAATCTTCAAACAATAATCCCATCCCTCCTGATGCTGTTTATGGAGATGCCTCTTATGCATCTTGCTATTCAAACTTAGAGTTTGTTATGGGTCAAGCTAGAGCTGTTGCTGCAACAACTTCCTTAGTTCCAACTAATGATGATAGCAATACAAAGTTAGATGCACCTCCCTCTCTGCCACCCAAGAAAAACCCTCGAGGGTCTAGTGTTCAGTTAGATGATGATTTTGGTGAATATGGTACTCCTTCAGGCCAACCAATACATGCAAATAAGGCAGCACTCTTATTAGAGAGAGGCTTTCGAGCAGGAGGTCTCTCGAAGCTTAGCAGCAGCCAGAGTCTATCCAGTAGTCATAATGTAGAAAATGCCCTGTATTATGACCCGGGAGGGCATGCGAAAGCCCCATTGGGTTCTGCATCAGAGTGTGATGAACTGGAGGATATGTGGGACGACTCGTCCAGTCAGCCTCATGAACTCACATGCGAGCAACTTCCACGTACTGTTCTGGATTTATTTGTGTGATTTTCTTCACTATTCTAGGATGAAGTTTAAACCATGAGGTAGGAGTAATCATTGTTCATTGGTGTTTATATATTGGTCTCAAGAAATTCCCATTCATCTATTGTTTATATCCATAAAGAAAATCATTATTTTTTTCCATTTGAAAACTATAAAAGTTTATTTTTAGATCTGTAAAATCCAACTTTCTGATTAAATGAAAAAATATAGTAAGAAGGGTATGAAAGATAGTAAAACTCATTGTTGTTATAGCTGTTACATGCTGTTACTTCCTGGAAAATCAAAATAAGATCACACAAAGCTAGACAGCAACTTGTACAATAAGTTTCTTTAATGATAATGTTCCCTGTTTTCATTCATCTCTTAAATCTCAAATGAAAATTTGTGTGAAATTTTCGTGGTATATACACATAATGGCACACGTGCCATTATGTGTGTGCTCATCCATCACAAACGGCAATAAGCAACATAACGTGTGAAGTTGTACAGTCCTTCAGGATGGTGTGATGTAAAGGGACACGAGTTCTTATGATTTGCCTAAATGATATGTTACAGAGGCTGATACTACCGTACAACGTGTCAATTCTCAACCATTGAAACGCCTGACGAGCCTTGTTCTATACAGATTTGGCTGGGTGTTGTTCTCTATACGTGTTGAGCTGCAAAATAAGCAACGGCAGCATTTAAAGATTTTAGCATAGGTTATGAATGCTACAATAGGTGCTAGTATGAGAGGTGGTGTGCATATACCCTAACAGATATAAATGTTATATACAGTATATTATATATGTACATGAGATAATGTATAACGATGCAGGAAAATAAAATGGGAAGTGTTTAAGTACTTTTGTGTGTATTTCAAACATGTTTTAAAATACAGGTTCTGTATACACAAAAGTGCTCAACTGTTTCCTGTTACCTTTTTTCTTTGTGGTAATATGTTATCATGTGTTAATTTCTTCATGAATTACACACATATATTAATATAGTGTGTATTTATGTTTTATATATATTTAGTATGTATAGATATGTTGTATGTAGTGGTGAGGGAAATAGGCACGAGTAAATGTGAAGGATAAAAATGTGTGGCGTTCATTATGTCATCGACGAAACGTCTTGCTTCTCCATTCACTAAGTAATTTTATGTGATAAGCTAGCTTTTAATAAGGGTATTTATTAAGCATATGTTGCTGTTATTTTTCTGCCTTGCAATTTCCTTGGAAGATGATGTAGAGCCAGAAGTGCACATAACTAATCTAGTCCACTAAGCCAGGGAATGGTTGTGACAACGACAGTTCACTCACTGTTGCATCCTTAGTTTCTAGTCATTTAAATGACTGTACAGTAATTGATGGTTTATTTTTAAGATGACATCAAAGACAGGCTAGTACTGTATGCTGCACTACGATGAGTTCAATATCTCATGGATAGAGCAGGGTCACTGACATAACATGTTTAAAGATATACAAATTATTGTAAGTTCTCTCTTGTCAAGTATGTAACCTGTCCCTTAACAATGCACAATTATGGTATTAATCACATTTTATCAAGATCTATCTTCCTGGGAATCCTCACGAACAGGGGGTTTTGTTCCCTCTGAATTATAAAATTATATTTTAATTTAGTAATGTAAAATATATAAACAAATGAATATAATATATATATATATATATATATATATATATATATATATATATATATATATATATAAATATATAATAATCTCACACATACACACACACACACACACATATATAAACACACACATATACTGTACATATATACACACATACATATACATACGCATATACATACCCCCCCCCCCTGAAAATTATATATATACTGTGTATGTATATGTATGTGTGTATATATATGTACAGTATGTGTGTGTGTATGTATGTGTATATATTATTATACTATATATATAATTTTCGGGAAGGGGGGGGGCGGAGCCCCATCGGCTCCTTGGAGCTATTGAGGCTGATATGTATCTATTAGCTTTCTGGCATCAGTCAATGTGCATGGAGTTCTTGCCTAATGGGGACCACAAGCCAGAGCCTGGCCCTCTTCAGAGAGGCACAAGGATCAATGACCTATAGAAACTCCCATATGGTTGGAGGTAATTCTACGTCTGCCATCGACTGGGTCTGGTACCCAGAAAGGTAGGCGCCCCAAAACAAACCCTCTATTATGGTAAAAATATTGCTACCGAAAGCTGAACAAGTGGACAGAACTCCCCAAATGAAAACTAGCAACTAATATGACGTCATCACGTTGTCGAGCCACTGTCTGTTCAACCCACCCCCCTCCCCGGGAGGGGGAAGGGGAAGCCCCCCAGACCCTCGTGCCGGTGATCCACCCTTCAGGTCTTGGCTGATGTGGTACTGGCAGGTCTCTGGCTCCGGAATTTGTTTGTTTCTGTGCCTTGTGGCGTGGACTGTCTCTACGGATGGCGTGCAAGCCAGGAGTAATATTCTTCGGTACTCGGGCTGCATGCGCCTAGGGTTTGTTTCCCTAGGTGCCCTGTAAGTACTGCCCCTTGGGGCTTGGGGCCACCTTCCACAAGTTACCTTGGGATCTGCCTCCACTGTGTCTTTTACTGCTCGGTACTTGGCTGCTCTTGGAGTCAGCTGGAGTATTTTGTTTGCCCTTGTTTGCCTCTGGGTAAGGGGGGTTAGTTTTCGTCACTGGTAGGGGCGCAGGGTACAGCGCAGCTAGTCATAACCTCTCATAGTAGCTGGCTCTGTTCCACCTGGGCATGTTGTCCTCTTGCGGGGTTTTTCGTTTTCTGTTTGTTTTTGTTGCCTGGTGGGGGGAAGGGGTCTACCTCTTGGTTGGTGGTGCCCTATTGTTATTCGGTGGTCCTCCACTAGGCCCTCTGCGAACGTACATGTCCCGGAGGTGCAGCTTTTAGCAGTTTGTTTGGTAGGTTTGGGGGCACCGGTTAGCTGTACCCTGCCTGGACTTTCCTTAGCGTGTTACCAAGGCTAAGAGCCCCTGGAAACCCCGCAGGTGCTCTGTGATCCGATGGATGCGACCCGCGTGTCCCCTCTTGCTTCGTGCGAGCTTGAAGGATACACTATTCCCTTATCTCAGGGTGACAATCACCGGTTGTGCCTCCACCATGCTACCTGTAGGGTCGGTGATTCTTTTGACCTGGAGTTGTGCGATGTTTGTTGTTTGTACGTACTCCAGTTGACCCAAGCTACTGATGATCCTGTAGTTGACAGTTGACATTGTCAACTGTCACAGTTGACCATGCACCCTCATGATATGAGGGTGCAGGGTATGGATATGTGGCGTTGCATGCTCGGTTTAGGTTGCTGCAATGTGATAGGTTGGTTGCTTCCCCGGATGCCCCGAGACTGCCCATTTTGGTTATAGGGACCCGGACTTGGGGATGTGAGTCGCTTTGACTTTGGTTCCATCTGCCCCTCCAGGTCCTTCCCTTTCTGTTGTGTGTCTGGTTCCTCCCCCCTTGCTTCCGGCTCAGAATTGTCTGAGGGCTTTGGAGTCGGGGCAGGGTCTATTTGGTGTTGAGCCTCGGACAGTTTCGGGGAAGTAACCCTTCCGGGATGGCGACGGAGGCGTTCGAGCCTGGTCCTCCAGCCGAAGCTTCTAGGTTTGACCAGTGGGCCTCCCTTCGATCCTGCTCTTTCAGCGGCTCCTGCCTTTTCTCTAGAGGCAGGAGGTTTGGAGGATGGCTCAGCTCCAGGTCCTAAGAGTGAGGTTCTCAGGACGGGGGAGGGGTTGACATGGGGGGGCCTTGGGCCCCGTTGGACCCCCACCTGGGTTTTTGTACCCTCGGAGCAGGGCTTGGTGTTGCAAGGAATGGGGTTCTCTTTCTCTCCCTGGTACGAATTGGATTTGGCATCTACCCCTCCCCAGATTTGGTTG